CCTTCAGTGTTGTTGTTGTTATGTGCCATTGAGTTGCTTGCGACTCACAGTGACCCTATGTACAGCAGCCCTAAATCCTGCTTTATCATATGCCAACCTCACCGTCTCCAACACACCCACCCCAATTACCTCAGTCACTGAATCAATCCATCTAATTGAGGGTCTTCCCATCCTGGGCTGTCCCTCCACTCTCCCAAACATAATGGCCCTCTCCAAGGACCATTCCCTCCTTGCAACATGCCCAAAGTATGTCAGATGATGCTTCAGAATCCTTGCTTCTAAGGAGCAGCCTCGTTTCATCCTCTCCAGGATGAACCTGTTCGTTTTCTTAGCAGTCCATGGTACGTTCAATACTCATCGATTCTCCTATCATCCCTAGTCATTCTACAGCTCTCTGATGCTTAGCAAGTAATTGTAAAGACCATGGCCTGTATCAGGCACACCTTAGGCTCCAGCCTGATGTCTTTGCTCCTCAGAACTCTGGAGAGGTACCTGACAGCTGACTTTCCCAATGCAATCCATCTGTTGATTTCCTGGCTGCTGGTATTTGCTGTTCTATCCCAATACGTTAGATCCAACCCACAGCCGAATTTTCAGAGACTGGACTTGCATTGGAGGAAACTGTCCATCTTCCTCTCGCGGAGCTGCCTGTGGATTTTAATCACGTGCCTTTGGGCTGGTAGCACAACTCCTTACCCCCTAGGCCACCAGAGCAGCAACTTTAGACAATAGAATGTGTTTATAGAACGAGGGTACTCGTCCCCTTGAGAGGGGCACCACTCACTTCTGGCCAGGTCTCCCCATCTGCCACTCACACTCTTGTCAGCTCTTTGTCGAAGCAGCCAGACCAGACCTTTGTCTGCCTGCTGCCCCTCCACAGCTGGCAGCTCCCAGCTAAGCTCTGTGAAATCCTGAAAAGCAAAGGAAGTGGAATCTCCACCTGCTTCCTGTGCACGAAGGGAGCCCTGGCGGCCCTGGTGTGTAGGGAACTGCACAGCTGAGCCAAGGGTGTGACTGTATGAGTCCTCCAGGAGCTCTGAGAGAGAAAGGGCGGGAATCTCCTTTATGCAACTGACAGCCTTAGAAGCCCATTAGAAGGTCAGCTGTGAGTCAGTTCTGACAACAGCAAAAAAGAAAGAGTCATGTGAATGCAAAACAATGAAAAGAGACCCAAGAATTGGTGCATTTGAAGTATATTGTTGCACAAAAATTCTGAATACACCAGAACGGGTGACCCTGGAGGACATTACGCTGAGTGAAGTATCTCAGTCACAAAGGGACAAATACTGCATAGTGTCACTGTTGTAAAACGGGATTGACATTGGGGTTGAGGGGAGCCTGAGAAAGATTGGATAAATAATGTATACTGCATTGAAACAGATGAGGGGACAAACTGTTTAAAAGGGATATGTGATTAGGTATTATTGTCATAACAGGAGTAGAATGAAGGCTGCACAGTGGACTGGACTTGGGGGGAGGGATTGTATAGCAGTGAAAGAATTTTTCTTTTACTTTACAAAGAGAAGAGCGAAGGGGGGTGGGGTGGGGGCGGAGCGAGGTTAGGCCAGGAGAAAAATACAACAATGAATGAATGGAAATCCAAAGTCTCTGTAAACAGTTTATTAAAAATAACAAAATAATTTTTTATTGTTGTTGTTTAAAAGGGACATATATTATTGTCATGACATGAGTCCAGAACGAAGGCTGCATAGTGGAGCGGACCTGGGGGGAGGGATTGCATAACAATGAAAGAACCTTTCTTTTGTTCTTCAAAGAGAAGAGTGAACTGGGCAGGAGGAGTTTGGAGAGGGAGAAAAGTGCAACAATGAATGAATGGAAATCCAAA